GAGAGGTTGTGTTGTGGAGTCCCCATCACTGGAAGGTTTTAAGAACAAGTTGGACAAACACCTGTCAAGGATGGCCTAGGGTTTGCCTCAGCCCAGGGGGCTGGACTAGATGACCTGTTGAGGTCCCTTCCAGTCCTGTATACCTATGATTCTTTTATGTCTCCTTTGCAGGTATTTTACAAGCTTTGTCCCTGAAATTTTGTTTATTAAATTTGGAATTCACTGGTGAAAGTCATGCTAATTTGAGTTACTTTATTGTTATTTTCATTAAAACTATTTTACTCTTTCATACTTCTTTGCCTTAAAATGTAGCTGCTCAGCTTCATTATGAAACATAATGGAAATGGGCATATAAAATACACTGGTGTATGTAAATGTTAAAATGTATGTACATTCAATCTAAAATGCTGGTAAATATTGTTTATTTTGGGAGGCCTATGGTGTCCTCTTTGAGGTGAGCTGGGTATATCGGGGGATTATAGTCTGATGGTGATTGGGGGTTAGGAATGGAAAGCATATGGAGGTCCAGGATGGAAAGGTGAAGATCCATATCTAGTACCATGATTATTTCAGGACACTTATACAAAATTAGTAATAAAAAACAAGGGAATGGGCCTGAAACCTGGCCCTTAGAGGCAGTGGGGGGTGGGGGGTGGAGAGTGCACTTTTGGCTGCCCATGCAGTACGTGCCATCATAGGGCCAGTTATCAACCCTGCTGCTTTTCACAAGCATTAACAGAAACATTACAAATAGTTTTAAAAGTCCTGTCGCACTTTTTGCAGCAGTGGGGTGTTCTTGGTCAAATTCCAACCAAAGTAATTACATTCTACCTCCCTAAAATTCTCCTTGCAGCCATGTCTGGGTACAATGTTCTTCAGTTGTGTCCTGAAGTCTTGCATGGTGGTGGTGTGCACTGTTAAACAGTTGTTTAGTTCTTTCCCAGATACCCGCATTTCACTGCAGATGAAGCAACTCCTTTGTGTACAAACCTGTGTTTAAAAGGAAAGTGCTATCATTCTGAGAATGAAAGGAACAGGAGAGATGTAAAATATTTTATTGTAACGCTTGGCTCACATTCTGCTTTCACTTACATTATTTGAACTGGTTCCTACTTGCCTGAGCTGGTTAAACTCCTTTGATTTGCTTCTTCCTGACTAATTTTATCTCGTTGGATATGAAAAACAATTCTTTTGTCTTTCTTGCAGGTGGGAAGGAAGAAGAGCCATTCTGTGGCTTTGCTTCTTTGCCAGATGTCCCTGCTTTTCTCTCCACCCATCCCAGGTGTTCACACATTCGGGGGCTGGCTGATCAGAAGTGTTTGTTGGGAATTTTCTGTCAGAATCACCTGCCAACAGAAAATGGCATTTTTGCAAAAACAAAATTTTCCATGAGGAAATTTCAGTTTTGCCAGAAAATTTGAATTTTCTGTTGAGAAATTCAAAATGATGTTGCCTTGCCTGCCCCGGGAACTCTCGTCAATTTCACTTTCCACCCCCAGGGAGAAAGTAAAATTGACAGGAGCCTTCCAGGCATGCAGCTGGCACCTCAGCACATCCCATTTTGGTTCTCCTGAAATGGATGTTTCCTGGAAATTCCTTCTCATAAAAAAGCTGTTTATTAATTATTAGTATTATTACTGTTCATCTAGTTCAGGATGAAAAAAGGTTCAAAAAAGCATAATTTTTATGGGAATAAATTTTCATTTCAAGCCAGCTCTACGAATCAGTGCCTACTCACCTCCATGCTCTTGCTTCTCTGCTTAGAGAGGTAATTTCTAGAGGAGCTATTTAGTACATCCTCAGTTCAGCAGCATGCTTAAGTGTGTGCCTGGTGTTCAGCACGTCAGTACACATGTTCACTTGGTGTATTTGAACGGGGCCTATATCTCGGTGATGCAGTTAAAAGGAAGGGAAGATGATGGTCAGACAAATCAGTCTAATTTTTTTGGTGTATTATTTTTGAAATAGCTTTTTCCACATCCTCTGTCACTAGGTTGCCTCCCTCATTCAGTAAGGGGCCCACACTTTCCTTGACCACCTTCTTGTTGCTAACATACCTGAAGAAACCCTTCTTGTTCCTCTTAACATCCCTTGCTAGCTGCAACTCCAAGTGTGATTTGGCCTTCCTAATTTCACTCCTGCATGCCTGAGCAATATTTTTTATACTCCTCCCTGGTTATTTGTCCAATCTTCCACTTCTTGTAAGCTTCTTTTTTGTGTTTAAGATTAGAAGGATTTCACTGTTAAGCCAAGCTGGTCGCCTGCCATATTTACTATTCTTTCGACACATCGGGATGGTTTGTCCCTGTAATCTCAATAAGGATTCTTTAAAATACAGCCAGCTCTCCTGGACTCCTTTCCCCCTCATGTTATTCTCCCAGGGGATCCTGCCCATCAGTTCCCTGAGGGAGTCAAAGTCTGCTTTTCTGAAGTCCAGGGTCCATATTCTGCTGCTCTCCTTTCTTCCTAGTGTCAGGATCCTGAACTTGACCATCTCATGGTCACTGCCTCCCAGGTTCCCATCCACTTTTGCTTCCCCTACTAATTCTTCCCGGTTTGTGAGCAGCGGGTCAAGAAGAGCTCTGCCCCTATTTGGTTCCTCCAGCACTTGCACCAGGAAATTGTCCCCTACACTTTCCAAAAACTTCTTGGATTGTCTGTGCACCGCTGTATTGCTCTCCCAGCAGATATCAGGGTGATTAAAGTGTCCCATGAGAACCAGGGCCTTAATAAATCTTAATAAATCATGAGATTTTTTAAAAATAATGAAAATGGGGTTTCTCTTATTTGCCTTCTGGCTTGTGAGCTTTTAGGGGTCATGTTTTCAAGCATGTCTCTCCAACCCTGAGAAGTGATCACTTGCTGTTTAAAATAAATGAATGCTGAGATTCTCACATCATCACGTCACCTCCCAGAGCTGAGGATTTAAGAGAAGACTCACGATCAGATAACGAGAGTTGGTGACACAGAGTAAGTAATGTACCAGACTGTCCCACCCCAAAGAGACAGAGGCTCTGTATTTATCCCCAGAGTGAGTGCAGTGCTGGGATCACCCCTGACAGCATGCCTCCTGCCCTGAGCTGGAGGGGCCAAAGCAGAGTTCATGTTGAAAGGTCCATTCAGTCCTGGGCCTCTGCGCCAGGATTGCCAACAAAGGGGCTGATTAGTTTCAGGGATAGCAGAGGTTTTGCCATTTGGGCACCTGTCCCAGAAGACACTGGACTGAGACCCAAATGAGAGCAACTTTCATTCTTTACTGACCTAGGGCGGCATTGGAACCAGTGACCTAGGAAAGGCTCCAACCCTGTCCCTAAGCCCCCAGACTCATCAAACTCCCTCAGCTCCTGGCTTGCAACTGGTGACCTAGAGGTGAAAGGCCCCATATCTTCTTCCCAGTTGCTCCAACTATCCAAGCTTGTTCTCCATGCCACCTAGCTCTGATTTATGTGCATATGCAGTTGCAGAAATCTTTCAAATTTACCTCCAAGGAGCTTGTGATGTCACACAGGCCCCAGGGAAGCCGTGCTCCTAGGGAAAGCAATAGGCCTAGCATCATCCCCACTTTATAATTGTGGTGGCAGAGGCACAGAGATGCTAATTGACTTGCCCAAGGCAACATACTGCACCAACAGCAGAGCAAAGGTCTCCTGACTCCAAGTCTTGTTTCTTATTCACTGCACTACTCTTCCTTCCCCCTGCTCACTGAATAATCCATGTTGCACTTTATCACTCCCTCATGACTGACTGAGATTTCCTGGCTTCATTCACTGGCTCTAGTGGCAGGGGATGTGACTTTCCTCACCTCCATCCTGACACATACAGCCTGCTGCTTTCTAGAGAAGGTTAGAAAAGAGCTGGGCCAGGTGTTCTTTGGGTCACATCCTTCATCTCCAGTGATTCATCTGATATGACTGTTGTTAAGGGAGTGTAATCTAGAGGCACTTCTGTTTCTGGCTTAGTTACTCTCACTCTTTGCCTTGGGAAAATCATTCAATCCCTTGCCTCAGTTGCCCCATCAGTGCAGTACAGCAAATAAAACTGACCTACACCATAGGAGAGTAGGAGGAGGCTTAATTAATTTTTTTGAAAACCCCTTTGCAATCTACTGATGAAAGGTATTGTAGGAGTCTAAATTACTACTCTGGCATTGTGGTGGGGCTCAGAGCTGTGGAGAAGGTAGCATCAGTGGCACTGAACACTTTGATCATTGAAGAGCCTATATCCTCTTATATAAAAGTTGGGGTTTTAACCCCAGTGTCCTGGCCAAAGTCCATTTTGGGGCATTTCGTTCTGCTGACCTAAATTCCCTGGGATAAGGGATTCTTCTTCACTTCTTGTCTTAATGTGTTGCACATGGTTGCTGTGCGCTTTTAACAGACTGCCATATTTCTGTAGTAGGTTGGTGGTGGTCCCCCCTCTGGGTCTGTGGGAAGCCACTTCGCCTCATGACGTGCCTGTGTGTCGCCCACTGTTGGGGAATTAGCAGGGCCACATACAGCCTGGGGCTCTGGCCTGCCGTCAGGGCAGAGTCGCAAACACAGTTAGGATAGCCCAAGCCCTTAGTCATGGCAGGACAACAAGAGTCAGCTCTGGCCAGTCCTCAGCTCTGCAGGGGCCCACGGCAGTCTCCCTGCTCGGGAGCAGGCTGGAGGCGTCTGGTTCCTTCGGCGGCTGCAGCCCAACTGAGCTCCCAGACCCTCCTTTTATACTTCCTGGCTCCATCCACCAGGGCTCAGTGAGTGGTCCCTCCTCCTCTGGGTCCATGGGAGACCACTCTGCCTCACTATACTACCCAAGAGGTGACTAATTTCAGTGAAATTAAATTGCCCCTGGATGTCTTTCGGTATATTTGTAAAGCACTGTGGGATCCTTCGTGATGAGACTCCAGAGAAAAGTAAGGAGAGGCTGAAGCCCACACTGTCACCTCAAATTAAATTATATCTTCTGAACAAGCTTTTCCCCTTACAACCTCTTCCTCCTCCTTTCTGTCTTGTTTCTAGTCCCCTCTGCAGTTCCTATGATGCATCAGGTGAGTCGCACCGCCAACAGCATCACATTGTCCTGGCCACAGCCAGACCAGCCCAATGGAGTCATCCTGGACTACCTGTTACGCTATTTCGACAAGGTGAGTGGAGGGCAATGGAAAAGAAACTGCCCTACTGTGTGCATTAGTGGGGGAACATGGAGAAGGGAAAGGGAAATCTCTCTAGATTGGGAATACAGCTGAGAACTGAGGTGAGCAAGGGGAAGAAGGGTACTTCCAGTGCGAAGAAAGGGGAATCTGTGGCAAAAACTGGGATTGCAAATGTATTTTTCATCCAATATTTTCTCTTTTGTATTTCCCAGACTGATAGAACCAAATGGTGTGGACCAGTAGAGGGGAGAACTCTAGCTGAGTTCATCCCTGGGATTAGATTAGATCTTTCGGAAGAGTTTAGGGATGCCAGATGCAAAGATGATAAAAGGAACTGGAGTTCCAGAAATGATACATCTTTGAGGGGATGGGCTCATTTTCAGCAGGAACACTCCCATTATGCCCTCACAGAGGGAAATCCCATGGGACATACTGGCATCTCCAGCCAAGGGTGGATAGAAATCTCTCTGTACCTGTAAAAAACCCTTTGCGGATTAATGCTAGGAACTGTCCATTGCCACTCAGACTCGGTTGGCACTGGGTCCTGTTCTGCTTGGGTGTGTGCTACAGGAGTTTGGAATATGGGATGGTGCGAACTCACACCTGCCATTCATTAGGCAGCATGTCGATCCATTATAGGCTGGCAGATGGGACACAATAGTTGTTTTCCACCCACATCAGTCATGACTCCTAACTGGAGGTTGATGGTTGCAGGGCAAGATGTCTGGAGGAGAGTTCAAGCCTCATCTCTGCTCTTCCACTGGAACACATTGCACAGTTGTTCAGTACAGGTCCTTTCTCTGGTTGTAAGGGTGTCTTGTAAATGGTAGTGCCAATTCCAGCAGGTTGTCCTATGGAGCACTATATCTGCTGTTGCAGTGGATTCTGGAAAGGGAGTGGCTGAGTTTGGTGGGCATAGGAGGCAATGTTCCAGGACAAGTTGGGAGATTATTGAGATGAATAGCATTGCACCAGGGCCCCATCGGAAGATACACCACCCGTCCATGTCCTAGCTCCTTACACTCATCTTCCTCACTCTTGACCAAATCACACTTTTCCTTTTCCCTTACTACTCACTTCCTTTAAGGTCAGGAATGAGGGGCATTGGCAGAGCTGGGTGGGGAGCCTAGGACTGGACTACTGGGGGGGAGGGGCTGCAGGGCAGGATCGAGGGGCATTGTACAGGGAACCTAGGATTATTTGCTGAAGAGTTTCATCTGTAGCTGGGGTCTCACATTTGTCATCTTCTCTGATTGGCATTGGCTTGCAGGCAGAAGATGAGGATAACTCATTCACCATAACCAGTGAGACCAACATGGCCACCATCTCAAACCTGAGCCCAGGCAAGATCTATGCCTTCCAGGTGCGAGCCAGGACAGCTGTGGGTTACGGGCCATATAGTGGCAAGATGTATTTCCAGACCCTGGTGGGAGGTGAGTGATGCACTTGCATGCACTCTCGAACTGGTACCTGCACGCACACACCCACACCTCTCACGCTCACACATGCCTGTATACATGCCCACTAGCTCATGCTCCCAAACCCCCTCGCCCTTGCACTCCTATTCACATAATACACTTGTATCCAACTCTTTTTCATGCTTGAAGACCCACACAGGCCTTCACAGGTGCATGTTTGCAAAAGATCACAAACCCATATGATCACTCACACAAACTTAATGCGCCTGTGTGCAATCTCGAGCATACCTGTTACTCAGGCTTTTGGGACATCTACATCCTCAGTCCCTTGCACTCTTGTGCAAATGCCCATCAGGACTGGAGTGTGTTAGCAGCTGTAGGGGAGCCCAGTACCGCATTGCACAGGGGATCGCAGTTCAGACCGGTCACAGTTCAGTGCTCTGCAATGGTCTGGTGGAAATCAGGCCCCAGAGCATCCAGACAAAACCTGCTTTTTGGCAGGTTCAGCCTCCATTCATGGAGGGAGCTGTGTATCACCTGTGACAGCTCTGGGCGTGGATCAAAGGGGCTGGGTCAGGGCGACCTCTTCATACATCTCTCCTGTGAGCTGAAGGAAGGGGAGAGGTTGGCCCCGGGAACCAAGGTGCCAGATGGATTACACTCAGGTGGCTGCTCAGGAGTCAGTGGATCCAGGCAAGCGGGGAGCAGGGGAGGCAGAAGGGGATAGGAAGGGCTGTGGGATTTCCAGGGGGAGGAAGGGAGGCATTGGAGACAGAGAGATTGAAGGGGGTAATGGAAGAGTTAATTGGAGGGTGTTGCGGTATCAGGGTTTGACTGCGGGATCTAGGGGAGGCTGGAATAGTTCTCTGGGTGGAGTCTGGCTGAACTGGTAGGAGACTATGACAGCCCTTGTCCTCTGTATGTGTGTGTCTCTCCCTTGCCAGGCGAACGCTCGGAAGTGGTTCAGGACCGGCTGCCACTTATCGTGGGCTCAGCACTCGGTGGTCTGGCCTTCTTGGTAATTGCTGCCATTGCCATCCTTGCCATCATCTTCAAGAGGTGAATTCCTTCCCCTCCTCATGCCCAGCACCTGCATCCCAGCCAGTGGAGCCCCCCCTACCTAAACCCATCCCTCTGGAAACCCAGTTCCACTGTACATTCATCCAAACCCCCATGAGCTCCCATCTTGCTCTGCATCTCCCTAAGGGGGATCCTACCCCACTGCTCCTAATTGAGGACCAAATCCATTGGAAATACTCCCATTGATGTCACTGGGAATTGGATGGGCCTCAAGTGAAAACAAAAGGGAAGCTTAAAACTAGTGACCACAAGGTGTTTGCCTGCAGCACAGTAAAGAATGGACTTGTAGATTAAAATTTTAGGCCAACAAACTCTAGGGAATGAAGAAATCTAGTGAATAAAAACTGATGGGAGGAAGCATTAAAATCTGCTGATGTAGAAGGTGCCTGGGGAGTCTGAAAATACCCTCTAATTAAGATCCTAGGAATTATAGCTCGTCTGAAAAACAAGAATACAAGGAGTGCAGCCCACGTGGCTCCAGGAAGGACTGATTCAAAGATAATAAGGTAGGTTTAAAGAAAGCACTGTAGAAAAAGAGAAGTCAAATAAACAATTTGCAGGGAAAAGAGAAGAGTAGCATAAACCAAAGCACAACAGAAAAACAAGAACACCCCCTGGGGTCTGACAATGAATGATGGGGTCCTTTTGAAAGATAAAAACAAGAACCGATCAACATCCCCATCCTCAAACTCACCCCATCTCTGAACCCTTAGACCGTCTATATGTGTTCTCTGTGTCTCTGCTCCACCCTACCCCCCTGCATTCTGCAAAAAGGAACCTTTTAGCCTTTCCTCTCATGTATATGGAGCAAAATCTAGGGTTTGTTTTTTGTTCTCCTCTTTCCCTTTTTAATATTTGTTTTCCTTTTTCATGTACATTTTTTTCTTTTGTTATTTTTTTCTGGGGAGGAAAGAATGAAAAAATACAAATGTTGTTATATTTCTGTTACAGTCTCCTGTTGTAACTTTGGACTGTTAAAACTATAATTTCCTGTTACGGTTGGAAATATGTGATGATATGTGCACAACTCAATAAAGCATATATTTTTTTTTTACAAAAAGCAGAATGAATTAATACTAGCCAAAGCTGGGGATGAGGAGGGGACTAAAAGGATTCTGTAAATACGTCTGTGGGAGAAGAAATACCATAGACAAAGAAGGCCCACTTACCAATGAGAGAATGGATGAAATTAATGATGACACCGAAATGGCTGAGATATCCTACTCCTTTTTATTTTAAATCTGCTTTCAATAAGAAAAATAAGTTTGGACATTTGGTAAATAAGGAAAACCTTACAAAATAGCTATTAAAATGATTAGGTTTATATTTAGAAAATTTAAATACATTATAAATATATATTACACTTGGAAACATTAACACATATTGTCTTGTCAATATGCAATGCAGGGTTTAAAGGGAATTCTGCAGATAAACTTATTTTTGAAAATTATGGGAACCAGGAGAGGTATCAGAGGACTTGGGGGAGAATGCAAATGTAGTGCTGACCTTCAAAACAATAAACATTGGGAAATGATGCTGGCAATCATTACCCTGTAATGCCAGTTTCTGTCCATGATAAAATAACTGAGCAGATCTTGAGAGAAAAATCGCTCACTAAAGTTGTGAAGGTTTAACAGAGTCCTGAGAAAAAAGCATTGTTTATGAATAATGCAGGGTGCCGCACGAGCCTGATGGTTGTTATTTTTTAGAATTACAGAATTAGTGGATGGTAGTTGTAGATATGTTGAACTCTGGACACTAATAAAGCAATTAAACCCTGTGTTTTGTGAAATCGTATCTCAAATTCCAGTTGGATTGGATAGAAACAGTCATATGGATTGAAAACTGGCTGAAAAACTGTAACCAGAGGATGATGATAAGCAGAAAAGCATTGAGTTGTTGGGTATCTGTGTGTTGAGATGCCACAGGGCTTGGTTTGGGGCCTGGTCTTATTTAATCTGATCAAGAAGAAGTTGGTCATATAAATGAAATACACAGATGATACTAAATTAGAAGGAGCTGTGAATACCTGTGAGTACAGAGAAGTATTATAAAGTCATATAAAAATAAAGAGAGATTAGAAATATGGGCAGAAAAATAAGAAAACAAGATTCAACTTGGAAAGTTTATCTAGAATGGCTGGAGAATGACCTGAGACATACATAATGAATGGGAGGAAGAAGCTTGCAAAGAGACAACGGAGGCTGGAAATTAGATACGTCTTTGCAATATGATGACAGAAATACAGACTATTGCGATTTTGAGCTGTATGCACAAAGGCATCATATCGTTGAACAGGGAGGCCCTGTCTGTATGATCTCTGTGTTCAGTTTGGGGTATCACACTACCAGAAAGATGTGTCAAGGTGGTCACAGTTCAGACAAGAGCAACAGAAATGATACGGAGGGGCTGACTTATGGGGAGAATTGAAAAGAACTAAATCTGTGTGGCTGTGGTAAGAACAACATAAGGGGAGAACAACATAGTTGATGAGTATAAAAAACACAGAAGGAAAGGAATTATTTAGGGTGGTACTAAGAAGAATAACCTGTAGTGATGGAATGAAATTTAAAAAGTTTAGCCAAGCATATTGGGAAAACCTTCCCAGATAATTGTATTCGGCTATGGAATAGTTTCCCAGAGGGACTGGTGGAGGTCCCAACCTTTTGCATGTTTGAAACTTGACTGGATACAGCAAGGGTAGATATGCTGTAGGGATCAACCCTGCATTGACCACCAGCAGATGGTGGGGACCTTAATAAGTCTATTCCATCCTTGACTTCTGTGCTTCTTTGATTCTGACCTCACAGTGGGAAGCCTGGGAGACCCTTTCCTGCCTGCTTTGATTTCCCCTTTTCTTTGTGTCCCACAGTAAGAGGCGAGAGACCCCATATACAGACCGTCTGCAGCAGTACATCAGCACGCGGGGTAAGTGTTCACCAGGGATAGGTGGCAGGGAGAGACTCTTCAGGGCTCACTCACGTCTCTTCCTCCCTGGGGCTTGGCTGTGATCATGGTTGGGCTATCTCTTCTTCCTCGTAGGGCTTGGGGTGAAGTATTACATTGACCCTTCGACCTACGAGGACCCCAATGAGGCTATTCGGGAATTTGCCAAGGAGATTGATGTGTCTTTTGTCAAGATTGAGGAGGTCATTGGATCAGGTAATGCAGGGAGAATGGCAAACCCCTCTTTATGGCCGATAGCTTTGCAACTCCTGGTGTGACTCAATCCTGACCCACATCACTGCTAGCCTCCATTGAGAATTAACCCCTGCCCTACTTCCTGGAACAATATCAGTGCAGCTAGCCTACATCCTGACCAGAATGCACCTTAACTTTAATCCCTAGCTTGGTCCAAAGCTGCGTCTAAAGCAGCATTGAAAAGGCCACCCCCAAATCCTTGGTTGACCCCCTGTTCTGTTTCAAACCTTAAAACACATCCTCGTTCAAATTGGAGCTTTGACCATGAATTTTATGCTAACCCGAACCCTAACACTAAACTGGGAGGAGTGATAGGGATAGGATACAGAGGGACCTAGACAAATTAGAGGGTTCAGCCAAAAGAAATCTGATGCAGTTCAACAAGGACAAGTGCAGAGTCCTGCACTTAGGACGGAAGAATCCCATGCACTGCTACAGACTAGGGACCGAGTGGCTAGGCAGCAGTTCTGCAGAAAAGGACCTAAGGGTTACAGTGGACGAGAAGCTGGATATGGGTCAACAATGTGCCCTTGTTGCCAAGAAGGCTAATGGCATTTTGGGCTTTATAAGTAGGAACATTGCCATCAGATCGAGGGACATGATTATTTCCCTCTATTGGGCATTGGTGAGGCCTCATCTGGAGTACTGTGTCCAGTTTTGGGCACCACACTACAAGAAGGATGTGGAAAAATTGGAAAGAGTCCAGCGGAGGGCGACAAAAATGATTAGGGGGCTGGAGCACATGACTTATGAGGAGAGGCTGAGGGAACTGGGATTATTTAGTTTGCAGAAGAGAAGAATAAGGTGGGATTTGATAGCTGCTTTCAACTACCTGACAGAGGGTTCCAAAGAAGATAGATCTAGACTGTGCTCAGTGGTAGCAGATAATAGAACAAGGAGTAATGGTTTCAAGTTGCAGTGGGGGAGGTTTAGTTTGAATAGTAGGCAAAAACTTTTTCACTAGGAGGGTGGGGAAGCACTGGAATAGGTTACCTTGGGAGGTGGTATAATCTCCTTCCTTAGAGGTTTTTAAGGTCAGGCTTGAGAAAGCCCTGGCTGGGATGATTTAGTTGGGGATTAGGTACTGCTTTGAGTAGGAGATTGGACTAGATGACCTCCTGAGGTCCCTTCCAACCCTGATATGCTATGATTCTAACCACTACCCTGGTCCTTGTTGGTCCCTGGGATCTTAACAGTAGACTGTTTTCCAGTCTATCCCTCACTAGGATCTCATGTTTCCCCATCTCATGCTAGCTGTGTTTTCTTCCTCCCTTGGCAGGAGAGTTTGGAGAGGTGTGTTTTGGGCGCCTGAAACCCCCGGGGAAGCGGGAGTACACAGTGGCCATCAAGACTCTGAAGTCAGGTTACACAGATGAGCAGCGGCGGGAATTTCTGAGTGAGGCCAGCATCATGGGGCAGTTTGAGCATCCCAATGTCATCCGCCTGGAGGGTGTGGTCACCAAGAGCCGACCCGTCATGATCGTCACAGAGTTCATGGAGAACGGCTCACTGGATTCCTTCCTCAGGGTATCCCAAGCTGGACTCTGCTCCATGCACCCGCACCTCTTTGTCACTGTCAGCTCCATCATTTAATCTCTCCATCCTCTTCTTCTCTATATCTGTCATATCTCTAGGCCAATTCCCTGGAGGTGTGATGGAGATAATGATGAGACACTGAATGGATCTCTCTGGGCCCAATGTGTCGAGAATCTTCCATCACTGGCCAGGTCACCCAGTGGGAGATGGGTAGACTGTTCCACCGTCCAATACAAACTCACTGATGAGAAATATTTCCTGATATCCAGGCTAAAATGCCCCACTCTGCTTCCTGTCCTGCAGTTACTATTAATCCTATCCCCCGAGGCCTCCTTAGGGATGTGGTTTTCAAGCTGTGCATTATAGGGCATTTTTAGGTGGTCCATGGAGCTTCCTGTTGACCAAATAGTGGCTCTTCTGCCTTCAAGAAGTAAAGCTTCATGCTAATTATAGCCTCTTAGAGTTTTCAGAGGTTTTTTGATCAACTAAATTAAAATAGAACTGAAGATGGATTTCTCTGCTCCTTGTGAGCTGCTTCACCTCTTTCTTTACCAGGTGTTTGATGATAATTTAACCACAGACAGATTTGCAGGTGACACTACAATTGGAAGCTTATACAGCACATAGAACCGAATTAGAGACCTGAAAGATCAGAGCAGAGAGGGCTGCAGGTCGTTCTTTTTTCCTGTAGCCTGGTCATCTAGCTGCTACAGAGATGATGGAGGATCAGGAGTTGGAGGCTAGAAGAGAAAGTGTCCCCAAGATTAGATGTATCTTCAGAAGTGGGTCTCCAGTATGAAACTGTTTGCGATCTATTGCCTTAAACTCCCCTCTCCTTCCTTGGTGTTTACACTTGTATGGTGCCTGTAGGTGGTTCTGTCTTTCCCAAATTTGGCTGAACATAGACCTATTTAGTTCTTTTAACTAACTTCATAATCCCTCCTGCTCCAATCCCTCATTGTTGCTTTTCTCTGCTGGCTGTAATGCCTGTGTCCACTGAGGCCTGAATCTTCTGGGTGTGTCTCTTCTGTCTGCAGCAACGAGAAGGACAGTTTAGCATGCTGCAGCTGGTGGGGATGCAGCGGGGGATCGCAGCTGGCATGCGTTACCTCTCGGACATGAACTATGTCCACCGTGACTTGGCTGCCCGTAACATCCTGGTCAACAGCAACCTGGTGTGCAAGGTGTCTGACTTTGGTTTGTCCCGCTTCCTGGAAGATGATGCCTCAAACCCCACCTATACTGGGGCCCTGGTGAGTTACTGGTGGGGAAACTGGGCTTATACTGTGACTGCCCTGCACAGGCCTGTCCTCCACTCACTGTTAATTCTTTATACAAATCTTGTGTGTGCTCCTCTTACCTATAGAACAGGCAGTATCTCGGGGACAAGATACCAGGAATGGGGTACAGCATCTTCCACCCCAAGTGCACCACTTCCAGCTCAGCCTCAGATTGAAAAGACTGGAGGGATTGGGAATGGGGTGTAGAACCTTTCACCTTGAGGTCATCAGTTTTAACCTAGCCCCAGTCAGATAGTGACTGACAACTGCAGCCATGTAATCAGCTGTACAAAATGAGCTGGTGAGCTCAGAACATTGCCATGTGGGGTAAGGGTGCACATTCCAAACCCGATCAGCTGCAGTGTGCTGGCCAGCTCAGCAGAGAGGCTGAGCACTGAGGCGCCACAGAGACTGAACTCCTCTCCTGCCTCTGGGGTGCATGGGGTAAGTGCTATACCCAAAACACCTGCCAAAAAACCTTGTACAGCACCTATGAGCAATACCTAAACCAGCCATTATATATGTAGAGCTCAGACCCCCCCTGGGCTCCCTGCAAGAGAGAGGGACTGGAGCCATCATCCTCTGTGCAGGGCTCAGAGGAGGATCCACTAGTTGGGTGGTGAGATGGGGATCAGATTAGTGTGCTTTGAGCAAGAGCCAGCAGCTGAGTGGCTTTGAATATTTTGTCAGTTGGGAAGAGTCAGGCCAGAAGAGAAAGGGATGAAAAGCTGATCAAGTACATTTGTCTCTGGTGTTGGACGCTGGGATTTTTAAAGGAATCTAAGGACTTCAAGTGCCTGACTCCTATTGATGTTCAATAGGATTTGGGCACCTTCGACGCCAGTGAAAAATCCAACCATAAGGGTTAAACTTCATTAGACAATTGGATTTTCAGCAATCACAGGTTGGATTCTGCTCTCATCCATACCATGGGACAAGGTGGGGATCTGAGCATGACTAATTTAACCCCAAAACAACCAACAAAATATCATTGTTCTGTCCTGGCGCCACATTCTCTGGGCTGGGCTGGGTGCTGGGATCTGGGCTCAGCCATTCAATGAAGTCTGTTCCTTGGATTCTCCAGGCCTCACAAGCGCTCTGCTTTCTCCTCCTCTCCCTCTGCTCTTCAGGGTGGCAAGATCCCCATCCGCTGGACTGCTCCCGAAGCCATCCAGTACCGCAAGTTCACATCCTCCAGCGATGTCTGGAGCTATGGCATCGTCATGTGGGAGGTGATGTCGTATGGCGAGAGGCCTTACTGGGACATGTCTAATCAGGATGTAAGTTCTGGTTGGGCAGGAATGTGTGTGTCTCTCTGCTCTCACTGATGTCCCTCCTGAAGGTGGAACAGGCCCAGATACATCTCAGTGGCTGAAGCCAGTGTTTCCCAGGTCTTATCGTGGCATGTTTCTTCCTTTGCTGCAGGTAATTAATGCTATTGACCAGGACTATCGCCTGCCACCACCCCCAGACTGCCCCACTGTCTTGCACCTTCTCATGCTTGACTGCTGGCAGAAGGAGCGGGTTCAGAGGCCCAAATTCGAGCAGATAGTCAGTGCTCTAGACAAGATGATCCGCAAGCCATCCGTGCTTAAAGCCACCGGCACAGGGAGCAGCAGGTGAGATGGGCCATGGGCAGAAAGCAGGTGAGGTGTGGCTGGGGTGCTAGGCTAGGACCATGAGCAGAAGAAGCGGGGGAGATCTGAGACTGGGATCAATTATGAATTAAAAAGGGCATGTATGTGTGTGTGTGAAGATGGAACCAGTGCCTAGTGCACTTTACAAATGGGATTAGGGGTGATCTTGGTGATGGGAGTGTGGGGGCTAAGTATAAGGGGAGAGGAATCTCTGCAGCAGGGCAGCCAGTGTTAGGGGTGAGCATGAAATGGGGGACCTTGCAGATGAAGGGAGGGGAATACCTGTGGTGGGTACATCGGGGATTAGGGGTGAGCAGAGGAAGGAGGACCCAGACTGTGGAGAAAAGGAAATCTTTACTTAAATCTGGAATTAGAAATGTGTCTCGCATACGATATTTTCCCATCTGCATTTCCCAGCCTGTTGGAACCAGATGCAGGAGGTCAGCAGAGGGGATGTCTCTGGGGATAGATGCAGCCAGGATTAGATGGCTCCAGAGTGGATGACGGAAACACGTCCTGCTGGCCTGGAGGGATTTTCCCGTGGGTTTTAAACCTCGGCCCAGCACAGCACAGTGCAAGGCTGGGGGAGGGGAGGAGTGCGTGCTTGTGCTCAGTTTATTAAACACCAATATAGAAAGAGACTTTTAGCCTTGGGACAGATTCAAAAGGCAGGAAAAGCAGAAAATCTCATTTATATACCGTGGTTTCTTTAGCCTTTGGCTGCTGCTTACTCCTGTTCCCTTTGATGAAGGAAAGTGTTGGAGCCTAAAAGAGCCACTCTATATGCGTGAGATAACTGCTAAAGGGCTGTTCTAAGGGGAGTAGCTCAGAGAGGGAGAGCTCGTCCACAACTTGGGAGACATAGGGAGTGACTTCACCAGCCCCATCTCCCCAGTTTTGGAAAGCCACCCCAGCTCCAAGGGGTCTTCACCCAAACGGTGAGGCAAGATCCAGCAAGTGCCGGAGAGTCTGGGACAACTGGGGATGCTTGTCCAGAGGGATTCATGATGGAGCGCGATTAGGGCGGGACTGTCACCTGTTTAGCAGGGTGAGTTGGGTTGGGTGCTTTTAAGGGAAATGGAAGATGCTTGTAAGAGAGAGCCTGGGCACCAGGCAGGAACTTGTGGAGATGCTGGGGCATGGTGAAGGGATATCAGTGTTTATCCTTATTCCTTGCTGCTCTGGTGTTGTCCCCCTTCCTTTCTGCTCTCCTCTGGACTCAGTATTGTAATTGGCTGGTAAGCATTGGTCATGTGAACTTTTAGCACTTAAGTTCCCTCTTCTTTTGCAGACCATCCCAGCCCCTGCTGAGCAACTCACCCCCAGACTTCCCCTCACTCACCAGTGCCCATGAATGGCTGGATGCCATCAAGATGGGCCGCTACAAGGAGAATTTTGACCAGGCCGGACTGACCACCTTCGATGTCATCTCACGTATGACACTGGAGTAAGTAAAGTTGGGATGGAGCAGAGGATGCTGGGTGCTGAGGGCTTCCGCCTAAGGAGAAACTTCCAGAGTGGAAGAGGACCTAGGAGATAAGGAGTAGGGACTCTTCAAAGGATACACACAGAGGTAATGGAGGGGCAGTTCACAGCAGGGCAACTGCCATCTAACATCCTTTTAGGCCCTTTCTACCCTCGAAGTACAACTGCGTATTTGTAACCAGCTCTGACACTCATCTGACCCGAGTAAAACATACACAAGGGAGTTGTGCCCACACAGCCACTTTTTCCACACCAGGATTATGTGTGGGACATGTTTGTGCATCAGCCGCCACACCACTGCACAACTGAATTTGCATCAGTGCATTCTGGGAAAACCTGGGCTGCTGCTGTCCCATAATACCCCAGCAGGAGGGCAGGAACACAGAGCGACACCAGCAGCTCATGGGACAGTGCACTCTGGGATCTCCATCCACACTGAGAGCTGGGAAGGAGGAGGACCAGCCAGACCAGGCACACGGCACAGTCAGAGGGTGTCTATCTACAAAGCAGAAATACTGTGCTGTTTGGGAGACAACTACCTGCCAGGCTAGACCTGTGGCAGCACCATTGGTACTAACCATGCTGGCTGTGACATAAACCATGTTTAGTGCCAACCATGCCACAAATTGGGTTAAAAGTGGGTAACAGTGAAGACAAAGACAGAGCCAGAGAAAGGGAAGTGACACTGAGGAAGTGGGTTGGGACAGTTCAGAACAGGAGCCCCATCTTTACCATGCACCCTTTCTCTCACAGAGATATCCAGCGCATTGGGATCACCCTGGTTGGTCACCAGAAGAAGATTCTCAACAGCATCCAGCTCATGAGAGTTCACTTGAACCAGCTCGAACCAGTGGAGGTCTGAGGTTTAGACCATTCTCCCACCTCCAAACTCCAGGAAGGGAATTCAGAGGGATTTTCACTATCAATGGGAGCAAGCGAGGAGCTCCCTGGAGACTTTGTGCAGAGAGAGAGTGGGCATTAAATGTCCCATGCCACCAAACCAAACCCTTGCAGTGATTTGACTGCAATGCTACAGAACTTGTGCCATTCAGATGTGGGTGATCTTGTACATTGGGGAAGGACTGGGGGAAGAGGGAGCTACTGTAATGTGGGGAGGAGCTGGAAGATAATTTGGACAGATCAGACACACCTGCTGCCTCTTCTCTGCCAGCAGATGGGATCAAAAACATTACAAAGCTGTCATTGGACTGTGTCTGCAGCTGGGAGCCCATCAAAGCCACACAGACATTTTTCACCCTGAACCAGGCAAAATAAAGGCAGAGGAAAGTTACATTTTTTTTCTAAAAGAAAATAGTCCAGGTGTGTGAGGTTCTTTCTCAGGTACTATGGGGATTGGGCAGGCCAGCCACCTGCCATCCTCGGCTTGATGGGGAGCTGGAGCACCAAGTGGGGATACATTATGTAACAGAAGATGGGGTGAGTGACCTGGTTACTGCTGTGCTTTCCTGTTCCAGGGAAGGGCTGGGAAGGCAACAGTGAGGTCAGAGCTCCACACCGCTTCGTGGCAGGCAACAGTGGGGCCTTGAGTCTGCACCATGGTCCCAGCGGATGGGAGGGGAACATATTCACTGGTGCCTGGGGTGGGGAAGGGAATCAGGTGGTCCCTGGATCCACACTGCTCCATTTCCCGAGTTGGGAAGGGTGGCTGAGCAGAGATTCCTGGATCCCCCCTGCTGGGCTCTGGCCATTCGAGGGGGAGCAGAGGATTCTGGTTCTAGGGATCACAGAGGAAGGGAGGAGAGCAGAGCCTTTAGACTCCCACTGATAGATGGTTCTGGTTCCATTCCAGTCCCTGTTGGGAAGGAGAGACCTAAGTTCTGATTCCACACCACTTTGCACCCAAGAGGCGCAGGGGCTTCTGATTCGCTTCCCACACCATTATGGACATTGGGGAAGGTGACAGAGTGACCTCTTGGAGCAGAAGGTTCTTTCTTCGCCGACTCCAGTTGGCCCCCCAGAGCAGAGGCGAAAATGAAATAAACACAGACCAGAGAAGGGGAGTGTGTGGAGGATTTTAGTGGGAGGAAATTGAACTCCATACAGGCCATTTGATCACCATGGATCGACATACACACTTAGCACCTTTCATAATCCCCCATCAAGAAGGGACCAACCAAGATCAATCAGCCATGGCCTACAACCAGAGGAAGTAACCAGTCCCAACCAATCATATCTCTGATCTTTAAACAGCAGGGAGAGCTCCCAGGGAATGCATACTCTGGAACTCACCATAAAATCCATTATCTGGCAGTAAAACAAAGTCACTCTAGCATGACGAAGTCTACAGGAGGCAAGTTGTGTGTCCCCTTCTGATAGGCTAGTACTTGCCTGCTGACACATCTTCACCCTGGGTAAGGGGCAGGGCCTTTGGGAGCCAAGAGAAGACATGTGGGTGCCTCTGTACAGATCTATATTAAAGGGTGAAGCTGAGCCCAGATTTCAGGGCTTTATAGAAGCACTGAGGCATGGGTGAGCAGAACACCTCAGGGGCCTTGTACCAACAAGTCTTCTCTGGTGCCTCTGCAGGATGAGATGTCCTGACCCATCCATACCCCTCTGCTAGCCCCCTGGAGTACAGCCTACCATTCTATAGCAAACCACTTCCCAACACCCAGGCCTGGGGGTGGAGTTTGAAAGGCAGGGCTGTTGTAGACATTAACCCTGCGTGGGCTGAAGTCCTGTGGTCAGCTAAGCAGCTGAGAGGAGGGCAGGAATCCATTTCTTTAAAGGTAATAAACAGACTGACAGCTGGACTCAGAAAGGGACTGGAGGAGATTTCTTTTAAAGGAGGAGGTCTACATTACTCCAAGTAAAATTCACAGTTCAGACCCTTCAATGCACTGAAATAGTAAAATATATTAATTTATCTTTAACAGAGGGAGCGAGAGAGAAAACATTCTGATTCAAATGTAAATAAAACTAAATACAAAAATAATCCAGGGGCCCTTTGAGCTGGGGGGTAGGGCTGGGGGACAAGAGAGTCACAGCAGCACAAAGACAGTCAGAGGATAAAGAAGCATCAGCGCTGGAACCCGTCAGCAAGCCCATGCCTAGAAAAGCTCTCTGTTGCTTGCCAAAGTGTCTGGGAATTCAGAGCACAACCTGATCCAGATTTACACCCGCTATGCTTGCCAGCCAAATCTACACCGTCTGAGACCAAACTCGCACCTTCAGTGCCAAAAACACAGACATCACCATGGGATGCTAAGGAGACGCTCCAGTCGCTACCCCTACCATGGTAGCAGACGCACCTTCCACAGGCCTCCACTTGAGGGCACTGCTACATGTTTGCACTAGTGAATATACTTTAGCAGTACTGCCATCTGTGTGAGGAATCGGACATTTTTCCTCTTGAATGGGTTGGTGGGGAAGAAGTTAGTGAGTGTTTACATTCCTGCAATGGGTGACCAGCCCCATGTCCTCACACGCTCCAGGCACTCCATTTAGCCCCACAGAGAGCTGCTGTGGAGTGAGCCGTCCACACGGAAGTGCAGGCAATAGGACATTCACTACTGCAAGGTGTCCATGCCGGAACGTGGCCTTTACCACTGGCAGGAGAGAGGGATCACTCACTGCAAGGAGGCAGACGAGCAGTCACTCAGACATGGTAGACCTCCTCTTCCTTCTCCATGGCAAGGTTGACATGGCCGTACAGCTGGCCTAGGGTGCTGTGCCTCAGGATGTCCCAGCCATGACTGGAGCTCCTCCGGGACAGGCTTGGCGACACAGCTGGAGTGCTGCAAGGGGTCTTCTTCCTGTACGGAGCCTCCATGTCCTTCTCATCCTCCAGCTCCTGTTTCTTCTGTGAGTACTTGTCAAAGTCTTCTGTGATCTGGGACTTAAATGCTTCCATGTAGCGGTGCATCTTGTGCTGCCTGCCTTCGCATCGGTCTTCCACCCTGTAGGCAGGATGAGAACAAAGTCAGTCAAGACCAGTGTGCTAGGAATACCTACATCTCACACTTTTCAGCCCCAAGCCAAAGCAGAAGCCAAACCAACTAGGCCTCTCCTACCAATGCAATGTCTCCCTCTCTCCAAAAGAACTACACTACACTACAGGCCTGAGCCACTGCAGTCAGGGGAAAAATCTTACTTTCGTGTTACATGATGATCTCTCACCTAGCAGTGGGAACTGACACAGAGAGGTAACTCTCCATGCTCCACCTCCCCTGCAATAGCAGCCGCTGCAAGAGCAGAATGGAAAGCAAATTATTGCCTGACCTCCCTCCATCTGGTGCTTTTAGTACACAATGCATAAGTCACCTGTGGAATTCATTTGCACAAGATCTCACTGGGGCAAAGACCTGAGAAGGATTCAGGAAAGCATTCTGCATTTCTGTGAGTAATGAAAACAGCCACAGTTCCATTAGCAAGGATAAAATACTATGAGGGTTATAAAACCCTTCTGCTTTGGAGAACAAGCCAAATTCCAGCAGGCTGGCTCAAGGAAGGAACTTCCCCTAAGGACCAACTATTTCATAATTACCCATGCTGGGGTTCCTTACGCCTGCCTCCGAGGTTCGTGTTACTGGGTCCTGTCAGAGACAGGATACTAGATTAGCGGGATCTGCGCCAGTCTGGCAATTCCTGGGTCCTGCTGCCGAAAACCAGAGCAGGCAGCAAGTGCCCTCCCCCTCTGGTCTCTCTGCCGACATAGATATTGAGTCAGTGTGCATCCACTGTCTCACCCAAGCAACAGTTTGTTTACCTCAAAGGCAAGGCCTTTCCCACAAGTTTTCCAAGGCAAGGAGCCACTGGTGCTAGGCTTTTGTATCTGTTCCTGGAGGGGAAGGAAGGTGGTGGCAATCTGAGCAGTGCAGAGTGCAGACGTTCTCTCTCCTAAAAACCCAGCTGGGAGTGGGCAAATGGCATGGCCTGCAGCCTAGGGGCAACGCTAGTGCACTATGGCAGCTCTGCATTAGGGCTGGAGGGCAAGGGATCAGTTAGTGTCTGCCTACATTTTGCTAGGAGCATCCCTTCTTCCTAGCCCATTAACCCTCTGGCTGATGCAGGGTCACAGAGCGCCTGTCTGTCCCTTCACACAGATATCTCCAGTGTTCAGGAATCTCAGGAAATAAAGGAGCGGCTGTAGCTCCTTGAATCCCACACCGTGAGCCCTACTGAGCTGCAAAAAAGGCTCTGGGGCATGGAGGGAGATGAAGAGGAGTACCAAGGAGTCTAGCAATAACTGAGGGATGGGTATGGAGTTACCCTCACTGTTACGGTTTTTAGTTATGCTGGAGTTATTGATTTAATTAGCAGCCTGGAGTGACTGGGTTAGCAGAGTGATTGGAGTAGCTGCTGATGAGTTGTAACTCAAGCTGTTACATCCTCACTGCATCACTAGCTCAAGATCACTCGACCTTCAACCCAACCCAACCAGCACTGCTTAATTTGAGCTAGAGATTTTTGTTTGTGGACAGGAGGGAAGTTAAGGGTAACCAATATAGCTGTCAAGTGATTTAAAAAATTAATCGTGATTAATCGCACTGTTAAACAATAATAGAATACCATTTAAATATTTTTGGATGTTTTCTACATTTTCAAATATATTGATTTCAGTTACAACACAGAATACAAAGCGTACACTGCTCACTTTATATTTATTTTTGACTACAAGTATTTGCTCTGTAAAAAAACAAAAAAATTGTATTTTTCAATTCAGCTAATACAAGTAGTGTAGTGAAATCTCTTTATCATTAAAGTTTAACTTACAAATGTAGAATTACGTACAAAAAAAACTGCACTGAAAATAAAACAATGTAAAATTTTAGAGCCTGCAAGTCCACTCAGTCCTACTTCTTGTTCAGCCAATCACTCAGACATACAAGTTTGTTTACATTTGCAGGAGATAATGCTGCCTGCTTCTTGTTTGCAATGCCACCTGAAAGTGAGAACAGGCATTCTCATGGCACTGTTGTAGCCAGCATCGCAAGATATTCACGTGCCAGATGCACTAAAGATTCATATGTCCCTTCACGCTTCAACCATCATTCCAGGGGACACGCGTCCATGCTAATGAGAGGTTCTGCTCGATAACAATCCAAAGCAGTGCAGACCGACGCATGTTCATTTTCATCATTTGAGTCAGACGCCACCAGCAGAAGGTTGATTTTCTTTTTTGGTGGTTTGGGTTCTGTAGTTTCCGCAATGGAGTGTTGCTCTTTTAAGAATTCTGAAAGCATGCTCCACACCTCGTCCCTCTCAGATTTTGGAAGGTTCTTCAGATTCTTAAACCTTGGGTCAAGTGCTGTAGCTTTCTTTAGAAATCTCACATTGGTACGTTTGCGTTTTGTCAGATCTGCAGTGAAAGTGTTCTAAAAATGAACAACGTGCTGGGTCATCATCCGAGACTGCTATAACATGAAATATATGGCAGAATGCATGTAAAATAGAGCAGGGGACATACAATTCTCCTCCAAGGAGTTCAGTCACAAATGTAATTAACACATACTTTTTTTAATGATCATCCTCAGCATGGAAGCATGTCCTCTGGAATGGTGGCCAAAGCATGAAGGGGTATACAAATGTTTTGCTTATCTGGCATGTAAATACCTACAAAAGTGCCATGCAAATTCCTGTTCTCACTTTCTGGTGACATTGTAAATAAGAAGCGGGCAGCATTATCTCCTGGAAAGGTAAACAAACTTGTTTGTCTTAGCAACTGGCTGAACAAGAAGTAGGGCTGAATGGACTTGCAGGCTCTGAAGTTTTCAATTGTTTTGTTTTTGAGTGCAGGTATGTAACAAAAAAATCTACATTTGTAAATTGCAGTTTTGTGACAAAGAGATTGCACTACAGTACTTGTATGAGGTGAATTGAAAAATATTATTTTTTTGTTTATCATTTTTTACAGTGCAGATATTTATAATAAAAAATAATATACACTTTGATTTCAATTACAACACAGAATATATATGAAAATGTAGAAAAAATCCAAAATATTTAATAAATTTCAATTGATATTCTATTGTTTAACAGTGCAATTAAAACTGCGATTAATCGTGATTTTTTTTTTAGTTAGTCACATGAGTTAACTGCGATTAATCGACAGCTCTAGTAACGAGCTCAAGCTAACTGTGATGTGAAGACACACCCTTAGTCTCTGTCGGTACCATCATTATCTACTGTATATACAGTTATGGAATCTCAATGGGATTAAATGCTTCACAAAAAGTTATCCTTGTGCACACAAATGGAGCTAAACTTATAGCTAGGTTTTGGGTCTGGAAGGAACTGGCCCTTCCCTGGTAGGGGAATACCAACAGGGACCTTGAGGGAAGGGAGCACTGAGTCATGTACACAGATGTGTGCAGTAGGTATCCAGCATGGTCAATTTCTCTTGATCATACAGCACTCTAGGAACTGGTGGACTGCCATTGATGGATAGCCCAGCAGAGTAACACCTACAGTCATGCAGCATAATCCTTCATGTTCCAGCCCAGCACCTCCCCCCAAGATTTTACACTATGCTCCAGCACTCAGGGGGTCACAGTGCTCTGAGCATGAGGCTGTTCCGCTTCAGTGTTGCTTTAATTGCTGTATGGAACTGATGTGAAATCTCTGTGCCCATTGCTGCAGGCCATGCCCCTGCAAGTCTTGGACAGTAGGGAGAAATTACTCCCCCTTATGCTCTGCTGCATGAAGTGCAGAGAGGAGGGTGTTATACTTAAGTGTACTGGAAAAGCCCAGTGGCTCAGTTATTGCACATTTCTTTTCTAGCAGTTGCTGATGCTGGATCCTATCTCAAACAGCTCCTGATTGAGCTATACAATATTATGAGGGGGGATTTCTTCCTGACTTTCCTAACTGCTGATTAGCTTATTCCTTGAAGAAATGAAGATGGATGCCCAGTGTGAACCATTCCCTAACTAATCTAACTACAGATACTGCTCCTATACTGGCAGCCACTATGGTTTCAGGCACTTTTGTAGTGCAGTTTGGAGTAAGCCCAAAGTCAGCAACTGGAACCCCCTTGCTATTCAGCTTCACAGAGCAGGTCTATTCTGACAGTGACTCTATGGCATCATGGGCCTCAGAGACTCCTGATCAAATGCACTCAGTTTACCAATAAAAGGCCATTTGTTTCTGACAGTCTCTCTTAGCCTAGAATCTAATGACCAGATTTTTCAAGGTATCTAAAGATGCAGGTAATGACCTAGTGAGATTTTCAAGTGCATCATTTCAAGGCACCTAGACTCTTTTGAAAATCCCACTAAGCCACTACCTGCATCTTTAGGCACATCTTTAAATACATTTTTCAGTCTGGCCCTGAGAGTCAAGATGGGCTCTTTCCATCTCACACACATCATCACCTGAAATAAAGGCTCTGCAGGTCACATTAAGCTCTCAGTTCTACCTGGGCAACCCACATGCCTCCATGCTTTATCTCTGGTGTCATCTGTGCAACCCTATTGTAATCAGTACGTTTGCACAGATGTAACAGATTGACACTTAATGAACAATTCTGTTAATGCTGCACCAGAAGGAATAGGTTCCAATTCCCTCTCTCTGAACTGTGTTGGCTCTGCAGACAACCAGGAGTAAAAAGCAATGAAAACTTATTTTAGCCATAAGTCAGCAAATCTGATAGATACCAGAGTCAGATATGCTGAGTGATAAAGGCAGTTTTTACATAGTTACTTTTCTGAGCAGAACCTTCAACTTAATGTTGTCTTATCAAAAGAACCTTAATTATAATGGGTGCATAATAGCTTCTGTAATAATGAAAGTTGCAAAACAGTTGCCATTATAATCCGCTGTTTTCACATGCTCATAACTTTCCAAAACGATTCACCTTCAGGGCTGCTGTAATTTTCCAAGCTTAAAAAGAAAAGGAGGACTTGTGGCACCTTAGAGACTAACCAATTTATCTGAGCATAAGCTTTCATGAGCTACAGCTCACTTCATCGGATGCATACTGTGGAAAATACAGAAGATGTTTTTATACACACAAACCATGAAAAAATGGGTGTTTATCTATACAAAAGGTTTGCTCTCCCCCCACCCCACTCTCCTGCTGGTAATAGCTTATCTAAAATGATCACTCTCCTTACAATGTGTATGATAATCAAGGTGGGCCATTTCCAGCACAAATCCAGGTTTTCCAAGCTTAGGCTCTGTGTGGATGTGTTTTTGTTGTTGTTTTGGTTTTGCTTTTGTTTTGGAAAGTTAAAACAAAATCCCTTCAGCTGTTTTCAAATTCAGCCAGGATGGGAAAAAAAAAAAAAAAAAAAAAAACTTGTTTCCCTTCCTCCCCCCCTTTAAAAAAGCCCCACACATTATTTCCTTTGGAGAGCTGCAGCAAAAATAGCAGTGGCTTGAAACTTGGCCTGGATGAAGTCTGCACTGAGAACTAGTGTCTTTACTTGTTTGGAGAAATATTAATTTTAATTAACAAAAGGTTATGACTGTTTCCAAACTGTATCCAACGCCCAGTAGAAACTGTATCAAACCTGCCCAATATTTACTTGATTAGAAAACTACTTTTTGTTAATTAAAAATATGTAAAGACTGTTTGAAAATTGAATCAGACACACCCACTAGAAAACCAGGTGCCAGCTTAGATATGCATCGTAGGCAACTTCTTAACTGTGTACACGTGGAAACTTGCACATTTAAAATGTTTCTCATTTGAACTGCTGAACTCTCTTCCCAGAGAGATCTAAACATTAAGTTAACATTGAAGACAGTTGGTTTGGTAGTTTTTAAGCTTCAAAAGTTGTCAGGGAACCCTGAGTCCACGCTCCTTCCCCCTCACTCATAGTACAAACTGGTACATGCATGCGTGCAGAGGACAATGAGCTCCTTTCCTCGTGGAAGGGATGGGAACTGGGGGGGGACATTTAAGGCTGCATATCTGGAAGCACTGCTCAACAGTGAGACAGCACTGCCTAACAGCTCATTCCCCTCTATTCGACATTGGTGAGGCCTCACTGTCCAGCTTTTATTACTTGAGTCATTTATAAGCTGAACTGCACAACAATGGAAGATAGACTGCATTGGGTGGGTGGGAGCTGGACTAGGTGTGAGCTCACAGCCTTTTCCATCTCCGATTCCAATAATTCTCCCATGGATCTTGCCCATCCTCAGGTTGCAGAGCCCAGGCTATTGCCTCCCTTTCACAGGGGGCTGCACTGCCAGAACAGGTTGGATTAACGCCATCTTTCTCTCTGACAGGTTTGCACAAGAGAATCCACTCTGTTTAGTCAACATGTGGGCAAGCCCCACAGAACTCACCTGAGGTACCAGTGGTCCCCCAAGCCATACTCCAGCCCACATATCCCAGAGCGAGGCCAGAGGCATTGTGGGAGTTTCCGCTCCAGCATGACAGTAGTGGCAACAACCTTCAAAACACAAAAAAGGTGTTGGCAAGACAACAAGGGGTGCAGAGACGGGGAAGTGGGTAGGACAAGCAGCAGGAAATCATGGGGGCATAGATGGCATCTATACTTCTCATAGACACATATGAGAGATATACCACACACGTGCCTAAACAATGGGCCCCATTTCAGCCCTCCTCTGCCCTGGGCTGAAATACATTCCTCTTCCATGTTTTTTCATTCATTGATCTCCTCCTCCAAAAACACACATGCCTTCTACTGCCAAGAACTCAACCCTCCCCACACTGGACGAACCCACAAGGCTCTGCGGTCATCACTCCTGGGTTATACACATACCCTAATAGGAGCTCCTGACCCTGCCCTGTCCTAGGCTCAGAGTGAGTCTATGTATTAAGGCCCCTTCACATGTGGCTGAGCAGCACCCTCACCTGCGCTCTCCAAAGCTCGTCCCGCTCATGGGCCACGCGCCAGTGGGTGTCACCCATCATTGCGATGAGCAAGTTGAGCATGAGGAGGGTGGCAATGACAGCGAAGGCAGAGTAGGTGATGCCGTACATGAAGGGCAGGTCCACTTCATAGTTGGCGGGCCCATCGATGATGGTGAGGAAGAGCTCAAAGGTGCTGAAGAGAGCTATGGGGTAGTTATAGAAGTGGCCCAGCTCATCGGGGTTTTCAGTCTGGAAGATGACGTAAAAAGCTGGCATAGAGAGGAAAGGAGGGAAAATGAGTGAGGAAGCCTCTGTGCTTTCTCTGCTCTGCCCTGCACCATCCTACCATCTGCCTGAAAAAATAGTATAGAGTTAGATTTTAGCCCAGGGCAGCCATGCATCCCAGCTGCAGTCAGACAGCCCCAGTTTCCAGGGAGGCCTTCCTGTGTCACAGAGCTCATAGGACACTTAAGAGTCCTGAGCGCTATTTGGGACTCATTTTGTTTAATCATAACAGGACAACATTATGTCCGCACTTCACGTGGTATCCAGAGCCCTCATCATGACACCAATAGGCATAAAAAAACCATAGCAGCATCAGGCTGAGATTATTTTGTGTCAAAAGGCAACCGTGCCCTACATTGATCACAAAACACTGTGAATTCTGAAGGGAGAGTGACTAACTAAGTACCACCCCATCCCCTCTGGAGTAGAGAGGTGGGCTCCTCCTCTTTGTGGAATATTGACATTTTTTCAGAACTGGGTCAAGTCCCACCAGCCCCTAACATTTCCCCATGTCCAGGTTGCTGAGATCTCCCAAGCAGCCTGTCCTCTTCAGGGCTGAATCAATAACTTCCTAGGCAGATGTATCAGTTCGTGAATGAGAAGAGAGACTGGCTTAGTTTCACAGAGGGTGGGGCAATTTCGTAGGAAGAAACCTCAGATATGGGGAGGAAAAGGCAGGAAGAGGAGAAGGCATGGACTGTGAATAGCAAGGAGCAGGGGGAAAGGGAAGGGAGAAAATGGAACAGGCAACTTAAAGCCCAGCAGCATGGGCAGTCCTGGGAGCTTTGAATTGTATTCTAATATAAGCTATGAAGGAGCTGGAGGATTGAGTGCCCTCTTTCCAGACAACTGTTCCATAAAACCCAGTATTCTGTGGATGGATTTGCAAGACATGGTGCCCCTCAGGGTGTCCATTGTGACCCTGCTGTCTTGTAACTGGGCTTGTGGCACCTTGCTGTACATTAATAGACACTGTGTATAGCATCATACCTACCTGATGCAAAGCCAAGTATCACCACTGCCATGAGCCAGCAGAAGCGCATGAGATCTCCAAATATCATCTGCAGATGAAACAAAAGCAGCTGCCATGAGACCCCACTCTCTCACAATGACAGCCCTGAAACTGAGGCTTTGTTGTCTAACCGGTCCATGTATCCTGGTCTCTCACCTCCCACCATAGCAAATCAGAGCAATGGTCCATCCAGTCTTGTATCTCATGTCAGATTGGATCAGACCACTAGTCCTTCTAGTCAGGAGACAGCATGGTCCAGTAGCCAAAGCAGGACACTGGAAGTCAGCAGATCTAATTTCTAATCCAAAGGAGTTACTGTGTGAGCCGGGGAAATTTACTTAACCTCAGTTTCTCCAGATATGTAATACTGTATGCTAATGATACACACTCACTTTGTGAAAGTGCTCTGAGCTCTATGGATGGGAGTGCTATCGAAATGTTTTAGTAGTACTAGTCGTTTAGTAGCCGGGCTGCAGAATGGCTCATACTTGATATTTCAGAGGGAAGTCGGAACACCACCATAATACACTTGGTCCACCATAAAACACTGAAAACAGGGATTTCTTCTTGGCCACCCAGCTGCTGCTCAGCTAAAGCACAAGGACTGAGCTATAATTTGTCTGGATAAGATTACCCAGCTGCAGTGATACTACTGTAGGCACGGCTATCAGTCCAATTAAATCTATCTATATATTTAATATTACTAAATTGCTTGGCTCAGTATTTTTTCCAGCAGTGTCATCCATTGAACTAGAGGACCCTACAGCCTGTTCCACCAGTATGACAGAGATGAGAAACCAATCTGAACTGACTAATGTTCTGAGCCAGTTTAGTGACTTCTATGTCTCTAATGTCCACTGTACCCTTCACTGTCCTGTCTGTGGCCTACCTCAGTACATAAAAGACGAACCTCACTTAAAACAGCCTACTAGATAAAGGCCAAAGGGGTTCTCGTCTGGCTCCAGCAACTCGAATCCTACGCCAGAAACTCCTGGGAAAGTGTTTCCATTCTGATGGAAGGACCAAGATATGACCATGGGCACATGCTGATGCATGGCATGGCTGGATAACTGCTGCTCAGGATCCATCTTTGCTGATATCTTTATTACAGTCTCTCTCCCTCTTTCAGTCAGGCAGTGGGCTGTGTTGTTCTTACCTTCTGTATCATGATGGTGAAGGGTCCCAGCATCTGAAAGCCTCGTGCGAAGTACATGACATTGCACCAGCCCAGCACCAGGGCAAAGGACATGGGGATCACCTCTCCAGTGGTGCTGGTGAGACGCATCACCATGGTCACCAGGATCATACAGGCATAGGTGATGCTATAGAGGATAAGGCAGAGCCAGGAGGATCAGAATCACATTTCCACTCCACACTCCCACCTCTGAACACTCAAGTCTCTCCTAACGACTAACTCTCTGTAATTCCTCCAACCTCCATCCACACCAGAAAGAAATCTGTATGAAATAAGGAGAGGGGAAACCTCACATGATGATGTGGAAAGGTCCTCCCAGAATAGTTTGTCCAAAGTACTTGGTGACTCCAACTCTGAAGATATCTGGAATCTAAAAAGAATACGCTGTTCAAATTGGGGCTCAATAAGTTCACATATGCACAGAACATTAAATATTATTGATTTCCCTTACCTCAAGGATCAATATTACTATGGCTCCTATCACCGTGATCAGCTCCCCTACCAGCCTCAGATTGTCCTCGGGAGTCACATAAGATTCCTGAAAGGAGAGAAGGAGCCCCCTCTCAGTCAAACTGTGCATGGCCAGGAGAGGACTCTTAGGCCCCATCTAGGTTTGAGCAAAACAGGATTCGCCTTTCAGGATTGCTCATGCCATAGTCTCCGGAAGAGGCAGTTAGGCTAGAAGATCAAGCATGACAGCGGGAATCAGGAAACATGGTTTCTACCCCCAGCTCTGGCACTGGATGACTGCACAGTCACCTGGACCAACAAAGCCTCCTCTTTTGGGTCCCTTAGGTTTTGGGTGCCCAACTGAAGACACTGTGGGACTGATGTTGAGAGCTGCTAAGCACCTGCAGTACCCATTAAGTTCTGCTGGAGTTGGGTGCCCAGCGCTCCTGAAGAATCGGCCCCCGGGAAACAAGTGAGTCTCTTTAACTGAGCTCCAGCCCACATCTGTCCACCTCCCTTCCCCTCCCCTGCTCTGTCCCATTTACTCCCCTTCCCTTTCCATGTAGCTAATCCTCTCCTAAGTAAACCCATCCCCCCACCCCAAACAGTGGACCAACACACTGTTTGACATCACCACCTAGTTCACTCTGCTTGTGGGTTCTACCCTTTTACCCACCCTGCATCTGTCTGGTCTCTTCAGGCTGTAAGCTCTTTGGGTACATTGCCCAACACAATGGGGGCCCCACTCTTGGCTGCCCTTAGGCACTACCACCAGAAACAGGATGCATTATTATAATAAGAAGGGTGCTATAGGAGGTGCTCTCCCCTCTGAGTCAGTACTGAGCCCAACTTCCCAGCGTGCTGCTTGGGGGTGCTGTGCTGCAGGGAGCAGATGGCTGCAGGTATTCATTTGCCTACATAGCCTGTAAAGTGCTTTGGGACCTTTGGGCTAAAAAGCTGGGAAGATTTGTGGGATATTAATGGTGTACACAATGTACCTGCAGCAGTTTCTGGACGTAGATGGTATTGTCCCTTTCGTGTGTTTTGTTGCTCTGTCGACGTTTTAGAGGTCGGTAGACACAGCACATGGTGAAGCAAATCATGTACAGCACATAGAACAAGGCCAAGATGCAGAAATAGGGACGCCCATATTTATTCCACTTCAGGCTTACCAGCTCGTTCACAGGGGTTAGGTCCAGGATCCGACGGGCCTGAGAGACAAACACCAGACTTCATTCATTGCAGGGCACCTCTCTGTCCCCAAAGAGCAAACTGGCAAATCACCCCAAGTTCATGAAAACAATCACAATATCTTAAATCAAATCTGACTGGAATACTTGTCTGTCCCGTTTTGTCTGCCAAACACAGAGCAATGACTCAAAGGACATGGGCAGAGACAGGCTGCAGGAACAGGTCAGAATTTGTCCCACCTGGTCCATTAATGCCACTATACCCATCCAGAGTGCATTCACTCTGGAAACACCTGGATACCTTGCCATGCCAATAACAAAGAAGAGAGCAAGGTAGGAGAAGAAGAGAGGAGACAAAGACCTCAGTCCTGTTAGAAATGACAGGCTCTTCTTATGACAGGTTGATGCCCACATGGCAATACTGTAATATACTACAGTCATAGTCCCATACCCTGCAGTGTCTCTACAGAAAGCTGTAATGCTTCAGACCATTACTCTAGAATATTGTAATAATTTCTTGTTATAAGGGAGGTTACAGATCAAGAACTTGACTTGCCAACAGATCCCAGTGGGTGCCCCTTCCTGGTCTATACACTCTGGGTCTCCTGGAACCTGAATGGAGTCCAGCCACTACTCCAGTTTCAGGGTCCCTAGGCACATTCACAGGGTGCAGATCTTCTATCTGGCACCCTCCTCCTAGCGGTTCTGGATCCAGAGCTGATCCTTCTGACTCCGCAGTACTCAAACACACCCCTCTCCCTGGACTCTACCCATCAGGTGTGAACATCTGGTTTACAGTTTAACTCCTTCAGGGGCATGCAGTAATTATGAAGCAATCAACACATGCACACTTTGTTCAATCTACCAAATTGATGCTCTTTACTTAGTAGATGAAGCACAGGACAGTACAGATCATACCACACAATAAAACATCCTAAACACAATGCCCCTCCCTAGCTCACCCTCCCTTTGGGAGTCCCTGAGGGATCATCTGTGTTCTGGCAGGCAGGCATGCAGGGTCCTCCAGGCCCTTGTGTGTCCTACCCTTTCAGCAGCCTCCCTAATCTTTCTTTGCTGCAAAATGGCTCTCTCTTTCCCTGTTCCTCTTGTGGTGTCCCTTTATAGACTCCTGCTGGGGTCACCTGCTTCTTTTGCTCTGCCTTCTGGTAATCCTCCATTACTCCCAAACCCCCTCCCTTCAGACACAAGGAGGAAGCCACCTCTCTCAGAGTGTGCAAACCTATTGTCCCAAGGTGTTTTATTTTGAATTCTGATCATTCACCATGATCTGGCCTGGCAGAGAGACATGCCACAACCCTGCTAACTCTTGGGGGATCCACATCCATATAGGCTTTTTTCCAGGACATAGTAATTTCAAAATACAATTTCATAAAGTCATCCACAACTCAGAAGTGATACAAACAGACCCCCCAGTTTGTCACACCAACATACTTCTCTTTTCTTGGTGGTGACAATGAGTTCCAAGAGAGATTGGTCATCTCCCCACGAGTCGATCTCTGTGAGGTCATACAGGGTAGAGACCAGGGGGCCGAAGGTCCACTGGATGTGCTTTCTGTTCTGCATAAGGTGCTGGAACATCTGATTGGCAAGAAGGGCAGAGCTGGGCTCATGGAAGGCTGTACACATTTGCCCAAACCACCCATCACCACCAGCACCAGTATCCCAGGACATTGAAATCACCTGCACCCCTACTTCCAACTCAGCTCCGAAAACACTTGTCTACAGAAACCTTGCAGAGAGGGGGTTGGACTGTGATCTTATTAATTCTCAAGCCAAGCAAATTTGGGATGGGTCAAAACTCGGATGGAAGACCTATGTGCTATAGGTATTACTGGTTCAGTAGGGGGTGCTCTCCTTTGTAAGTTAGTACTGACCCTAAGCCCCAGCACAGTGTTAAATGCCATGGTGCAGGTGACTCGGTAGGTGATGTTTCCTTTTCTAAGTCTCCACCTCAGCCTGGTACTATGGTGCTGATGAGGCAGGAGGTGGTGCTCTTCTCTCTCAATCAGCACTGAACTAGTCTTCCAGCATTTTCCCCTGAACTGTCAGTGGAGAATATTACAGCTCCCCTCCAGCAACACTCCCCTGTAGTGTTACTGACACAGAGCAGTTGCTGTGTGCCGCCCCAGAGGCAGCTGCATTTTGGAGTGATATCTGGAAAGTGCTTTGGGATCCTTCAGACGGAGACATGCCTCAGCAACATCAGCAACTATGAAAGCCAAGTGCTGCACACAAACTCACCACAGTGTTGCCCTCAACCCCAGCTAGCTTGAATGGAGTGAGCCCCTTGTTGTTAGGGATTAAGTCCAGGGCTCCCAGCTCCCTTTCGCTCTTGTCATAGGAGAGAAGGAAGTTGTACATCTGGCAGGCAAAAATCTTGTTGGGTTGGAGAACCAGGATGTGGAGAACAGTGTTCCCTGTAGTGGAGAGAGAGACAGAGGGATGAGATAACTGGTAAAATGGGAAACACAAATCACCTCCCAATCTTGACAGACTCTCAGACAGTCAATATACAGACCTTGCTCAGCCTCTGTACAAGAGGGTTTTCCATTAGTATTCTGTGTGGCTCTGCACAGTATGAACAGCCCCACTTGACAATTAAGGAAAAGTAGCCCCCATCTAAAGTCCTTCAATCCACAGAAAACTGAATAATAAAAGACAGCTGGTGTCGTATTTTATCTAGGCAAAAGTCTATTTAAGGTTCCAGTATAGAACTAGTCATCCTGGAACAGACCCTTGTTCCAGCTAGCCAGCTCTGATATTACCACCTCATCAACTGGGATGTTTTTCCCTGGGATTCAAGTTAGCATCTTTCATAATTTTGAAACACTAGTTCTGGCCATCTCATTTCCTATGTAAATCCTGCCCGTGGTGTGTCTCACTGCAGAGGAGAGACAGGTCTCAGCTGTAATGAACACAAAGGGGATTTTTTTAATGAGACTGATGCACACAGATGGACCCTGTGGCTTTCTCTCTCTTTCTGGCTCTCAGACACAGCCTTTGCAGCCTACTGTCACCACACAGGGTCTCCCTAAAGCCTGGACTATGCTCTTATGGGAGGGACTGCTTGCTGCTGAGTACATTACAATACCATATTGCTATGTCCCTTTGTTGCCCTTCACTGGACCTTCTCAGTCTCACCAGAACCTTTCTTAAAGTGAGTTGACCAACTTCAGACACAGTCCCACAAAGGTACCATCATTTGGTACCACACCATTCGCACAGCACCTTGAAAGAAGCCACTGAAGAGCTCTTACCCAAGGAGTCTTGTGCTCTGATGTTGGCTCCATGTTTGATGAGCAACCGGACGATCTCCTCACTTCCTACACAGGCTGCGAAGGATAAGATGTGCTCCCCTGAAGAGAAAGGAATGGAGACAAGGGAATACATAATATGGAGTTAAAGAGAGGAGACGAAAAGAGGGCAAAAAACCCAGACCACTAAACACATCCCTTATACACACACACACACACACACACATCTTTATGTAAAAAACTCATGTAAACTGTATTCCAAATGCTTTGCAGAGGTACCCAACAGGGAGGGGAGCACAGAAATCAGGAGGTACTGCCTAAGCAAGGCAAAGGAGACGTGTTTGCTGACAGGATTTTTAAAAGAGCGGGATAATGAATGAGGCAAAGAGATCCAGGGAGGCTGTTCCACATGGAAGAAGCCACAGAGGAGAAGGAAGCCACAGAGGAGAAGGGTCCTGAACCAACAAAGTGAAACTAAAACAATGAGAAGAGGGAAAGCGAAGGCTTATGTCACACAGCTAGAGGGAGCAGGGAGGGTCTGGGGTTGGGTAGAGAAACTAGCTCTGCAACACTGAGTGGGGAAAATCCACAAAGAGTTTTAAAACTCAGGAGGACAATTTGGAACTGGATCCAGTTGGAGCTGGATCCCACAATGAATGGGAAGGCAGTGGAGTGGGCGGAGGAGGGCTGGTTTGCTCACACCTGAGAAGACATGTAGGGACATCTTGCATAAGCTGGCAGCTGAAGAGCTGGGATTTAGAGGAGGCCGTATAGCAGTGAGTCAGCGCGAGCCGCATCTAACCCTGAGTTAAAACAAACTCTCTCAGGCCTCCCGCTTCATGCATACTACAGAAACAAAATGGTCACAGACAATGTTTTCAGCACACCTTTAAGGGAATGGAGAGATTGCTTATGAAGAAAGATTACAATAGTTAAATAGGAGCTGTACAGTGGAGTTAAAGGAAAACAAAGAGAGGACATAATAACTGTTTATAAGGGTCTGAAGTGGAAAACACCATGGAGGAAGAGAAATTGCTTAGGATGACAGCAGAATATGAGTCCACAGTGTGATGCAGTTGTGACAACGGCTAATATCATTCTGGGGTGTATTAACAGAAGCGTCGTGGATAAGATATGGGAGGTGATTGTCCCACTCTACTCAGCACCGGAAAGGCCTCAGCTAGAGTCCTGTGTCCATTTTTGGGCACCATGTGTTAGGAAAGATGTGAACAAATTGGAGAGTCCAGAGGAGAGCCACAAAAATTATCAGAGTTTAGAAAACCTGACCTATGAGGAAAAGTTAGAAAAACTTGGCACGATTAGTTTTGGGGAAAAAAAGACTGAGGTGGGACCTGATAATCGTCTCCAAATGTGTTAAGGGCTGTTATATCTCCAGGTCCACTGAAGATAGGACAAGAAGTAATTGGCTTAATTTGCAGCAAGGCAGTTTTATGTTAAATATTAGGAAAAACTTTCTAACTATAAAAGTAGTTAAGCTTTGGAACAGGCTTCCAAGGGAGTATGTGGAATCCCCATCACTGGACATTTTTAATAACAGGTTGGACAAACAACTGTCAAGGATGCTCGAGATTTACTTGGTCCTGGTCAAGATCCCCTCCGGCCCTGCATTTCCATGATTCTATGAGTCCATGAGTGAACAGAATAAAATAGGTCAAAAGGGGAAGTATAAACTTAATGTGAACAGAAGGTGAAATGCACTTCTGTGCAGAGAAACAGCACAGCGCCCATGCACTATTTCAGTCTCAGTTAAGCCTGCAAAATAGAGTGTAAGGCCATGCCTACACTTACAAGCTTACAGAAGCACAGCTGTACCGATACAGCTGTGCCATTGTAAGAGCGCTCATGTAGCAACGGCATGCCAACAGGAGAGAGTAATAAAATCAGCTCAACAAGTGGCAATAGTTATGTTGGTGGGAAAGCATCCCCCCACTGACACAGCGCTGTGCACACGAGTTCTTATACCAGCAAAACTTATGTCACACAGGGTGTTTTTTCACACCCCTAAGTGACAAAAGTTTTGCCGACAGAAGTGCTAGTGTAGACATGGCCTAAGTGGAATGTAAGGAGTACACCAGTCTTATACTGGCCCTATTCACAAGGTTGAATTTCACCCAGAAAGAGCAAAAGTTGCCCTATCTAAAGCAAGAACTAAAATACTCTGACCTAAGTGGAGCTTCTTCCAATTTACACGCATATGAATGAGAGCAGAATCATACCTGATACATTTTGTTTGAACAGTTTCTATCTAAATCTATCTCTATTTTTTTAAAAGCAATCGCATGGGGAGATTATTACCTTTATTTTTGAAGTGCTCTTGCTTTCCCCACTCTGTAATTAAACAATAGCCAGGCAGATATACAAGAGAATATTAAAAACCCTTTGGGGCTAAAAGCTCAAAGACGCCAAGTTTCAGTGGGTGTGGATTTTGATTTAATCAGGAGTAAAACTGCATGGGGAAAGCAGAACCCTGAGCCAACCTCCTCAACCCACAGTCACATACTCCTCTCCAGAGTGTTTCAAACTACTCTAAGTGAAAATTAATGAAAGCTCATTTAAAAAAAAAAAAAAAAGTAAATTTCTCTGCTAGATACAGTTTAATTACAGTGAGAAATGGGTAGCATAGAATGGTTGTGCTACTCTAATTTATGTCACCTGAGGCTCTGGCCCAGCAAAATCTCAAAGGAAAAATCAATCTTTAAATACAAGAATACTCCTGAAGTGGATCATAGGATTTGGATATGGAAAAGGCCTGCTACAATCCTGTAGCCTTAACATTCCATCTATGCTGCAGGGAATTTCCTGCCTGTAGGGGAAGTTCCATTGAACAGCACAAAGTTTCTGAAATAAAGGAGCCACTCCTTTCCTGTAGGTTAGCCAGAATTGTAAGGTCCCAGGCCTATTAGGTCACATCTTATCTATACCCCATGTCCCCAAGCCCAGCCAGAAGCAGAAATGTTCCCAGCATTCTGCTCAAGAAACAGACCAGTCTCCTGTTAAGAGATAGCCCCACTTAGTACCAAATATATGGAATGCTATTCTGCTCCAGTTTTTTTCTTATTATCTGAGATGTTATCCTTTTAGTTTTAAGTGACTCCTGCTTTGAGGCTTCTGCTAATCTCACAGGGGAAATATTTTTGCTTTTCAGAAATGTTTCCTGGTATTCAGCCTACATTTTCTCATTGCTAAATTTCACCCCTTTATTCTTAGTTAGCCCCTATGGAGTCTCTTTAACAATTCCTCTGTCTACTGGGCACATGCTTCAAGGAGGATGGGATGAGATGAGATCATATGATCATAGAATCATAGAATAGCAGGGTTGGAAGGGACCTCAGGTGGTCATCTAGTCCAACCCCCTGCTCAAAGCAGGACAAATATTCAACTAAATCATCCCAGCCAGGGCTTTCTCAAGCCTGACCTTAAAAACCTCTAAGGAAGGAGATTCCACCACTTCCCTAGGTAACGCATTCCAGTGCTTCACCACCCTCCTAGTGAAAAAGTTTTTCCTAATATCCAACCTAAACCTCCCCCACTGCAACTTGAGACCATTACTCCTCGTTCTGTCATCAGCTACCACTGAGAACAGTCTAGATCCATCCTCTTTGGAACGCCCTTTCAGGTAGTTGAAAGCAGCTATCAAATACCCCCTCATTCTTCTCTTCTGCAGACTAAATAATCCCAGTTCCCTCAGCCTCTCCTTCTAAGTCATATGTTCCAGTCCCCTAATCATTTTTGTTGCCTTTCGCTGGACTGTGTCAAATTTTTCCACATCCTTCTTGTAGTGTGGGGCCCAAAACTGGACACAGTACTCCAGACGAGGCCTCACCAATGCCCAATAGAGGGGAATGATCACGTCCCTTGACTTGCTGGTAATGCTCCTACTTATACAGCCCAAAATGCCGTTAGCCTTCTTGGCAACAAGGGCACACTGTTGACTCATATCCAGCTTCTCGTCCACTTTAACCCCTAGGTCCTTTCCTGCAGAACTGCTGCCTAGCCTCTTGGTCCCTAGTCTGAGGCGGTGCATGGGATTCTTCCATCCTAAGTGAAGGACTCTGTACTTGTCCTTGTTGAACCTCATCAGATTTCTTTTGGCCCAATCCTCTAATTTGTCTAGGTCCCTATGTATCCTATCCCTACCTTCCAGCGTTTCTACCACTCCTCCCAGTTTAGTGTCATCTGCAAACTTGCTGAGGGTGCAATCCACACCATCCTCCAGATCATTAATGAGATGATCTATGGCATTAAGATGAGATGGCATAGATGCTAGCCAGAAAGAGAAAGAGATATGAATGGATGGATGGAAGAAAGAGAGATGAATAAGAGAGACAGAAAGATGGCTGACAGACAAACCCAAGTTCTCTGTGGCAAGGCCCTCAGGTTTTTGCAGGCCTATTGTTCAGCAAAAGGGAAATTCTGTGGCAGCATCAGATCATATTGTTTTTAAATGGACATGTTCATTGAAAAAATAATGCCATGAGCACCGAGCCCTTTGGGTTATTTTGGGGACCCAGTCTGTGAATTCCTTACACACACTGAATAGTATCTTGCTGCACATGTAGCTCCACTGAAATCAATAGGGCCATCTGTGAAGTAAAAATACTACTCAATAAGAGGAATGTGCACATAATCTGCCCCTTTGACATGAAACTTCATTCATGTTATGGTGCCCTTACTTTTTATTACTTTCAGTGTATTGCAGAATTTTGTATTGGGTAACTATATAGGGGAGGGTGCTGGGGGAAGCTGGAGGTTTTAACAGCTGGGTAGGAAGCAACTGGGGATCTGACCACCTGGGAAGGAGTAGGAGGCAATTTGGGATTAACACATTAGTTGGATGTTTCTGCTAAAATGGTCCAATGTGAAGCATTTACAAATGATGGTGTAGCACCCATAAGGGCACATCAGGGTTACATTTACCTGTGCCTTGACTCTTTAAGGACTGAAAGTCTGCTGAAGGCATTAAAGGGGATAGCTCTGGTTGCATGGCAACAGCAGAGCTGTGAGTGTTCCCAGGGTATGTCTACTCTGCCATGTAAGCCCACAGTTAGTGGGACTCGAATCCGCAGACCCTGGGTTTGCAA